ATCTCAGTTATTATTTATCAGCCACTTAATTATGCAGCATGGCTGCTTTAAAAGTAATAATTTCTGTTAATCTCTGAGTCCAGTGGGAATAAATTAAATCTGTTCGCAAAGGTTTCCTCTGTTTAGGACAGAGTCCAGATTACATGAGATCCACCTGACGACTACCTGCTGAATGAATTTGATATAACTTAAAATATTTTTTTTTATGATTCAGGGAGAATCATCAACTTAACTTTAACTTTAAAATGACAGAAAACCATAAATTTATTAAGTAAGTAAATAATAATGAATGAAACCAGAAACTCAGAGTCTCTGTGTGAGATGGAGGTGAAATCAGTGAACCTGGGCTGTGGTTTACTATTCTCTATGTCACAAACTGACATCTGATCATCTGGAGGTTTTTGTTCAGGCTGAAGGAATCATTTCTCACTGTGGGAACCAGAATAACAGCAGCCGCAGTAGTAGGAGGCTAAATGATCCAGTTTAACTTTATTGATCTTCAGTTTACAGCTGTTCTGATTTCTCTCAGCTGAGAAATCATCTTGCTGAGGATGACTGAATTTAGATGGGCTCCCACCACTGGTGATATAGAGAATAGCTCTGAATGTTTCTGTATCTTTCTTCTGGTACCAGGCTACATAGGTACCACACTGTCCAGTCCCACAGCTGATGGAGACGCTCTGTCCGGATCTCCTGGTCAGAGTTAAATCCTGAACCAGCTGTGTTGCCATGGCAGCCAGCGCTGTAGAGACACAGACAGACAGGTGAAGGTTAGTGTGACAGTGTTTGTTCCAGGTGGGCTTTGTTGGCTCCTGATTGGTGGAAACACTCACCTGAACCCAGCCAGCACAGAGCAGCAGCTGGGAGGAAAAGCATTGTGTGCAGTGGAGTTTCCTCTGGTGAACCTGGGGAGAAGTGGAGCTCTGATGCAGCTGAGGCCAAACAAGGACGAGCTGAGAGATCAGACCAGGGCCACGTGGTTTCTAGCAGAGGAGCCAGAGCTCCCATCAGCCCCTGCAGCCACAGAGAAGAGGAGGCTGCTGATTGGACCATCAGAGGAAGCTGCTGATTGGACGATCAGAGGAAGCTGCTGCTGCTTTCATCTGCTTCATAGTGAAACCAAACAGTCAGTTCTTCTGGGTTCTTGCTGCCAACTTAACATTTTCTGCTTTACAGGCTTATTCATATTTTATCAGTTTAAATGTGTTTCTCTCCCAGATGAAGCTGCTAATACAGCCTTGGCCTTTAACCCGAACAGTTTAGGCCCAAATAGGAGAATTTTGTTTTTATATTCATTAAATATATTCAATTTTTTTATTGGGCTGGTGTGCAGTCGTATTATAAGACATTATAATTAAAATCAGAGAAAGATGTTGCTGCTGTCTCAGTGTCTGCCTCTCAACCAAAAGATGGCGCTGTTGTGCTGCATTTGATTCACAACGAGTGGAGACCATAGTCAAAGCAGTTTAAAAGATAAATATGCATAATGGTTAATTATAGTAATACGGCTTCAGAGCCATCAGGTAAATGCGGAATGACAGATGTAGAATCAGATAAACAGGGAGGAACTAAAAGCTGACCGTTATGTTTCATGTCCTGCTGTGTTAAACACTCATTCAGCTCACCTGCCACGCCTGATTGCTTACCTCAGGGGTCCCCAAACTTTTTCCTGTGAGGGCCACATAACTTTTCCCTTCTTTAGTGGGGGGCCGGAGTCAGTTTGTAACTGAAAAAGTGTGATGATTGCAGGAGCCTAATTGTAAAAATATATTGTTTTCCAGAAAGCACAATCAAATAACCACTGGGGACCCCTGGCTTACCTGTTCCACCTGGGCCTCGCCCTACTCAAACACCTCTCAGTCTCTGCCTCCTTGCCAGATTAGCGACAGCCATGAGCCAGTAGAGATCCAGCGTTTCCTTCCAAGCCTTCAGTGTTTCTACGACCCCTTTCTGTCCACGGATTTACCCCTCCTGCCAAACCTTCACGGATCCCTTCTGTTCTGGATTTCTGGACCCTGACCACCGATTATCACCTGCCCCTAAAAGCTAAGTTTGCTCTCTCTGACCTCCTGTGTATGACCTCTGCCTTATTGTTGACAAAGTCCCTGGGTGTTGCGTTTTGGATCTCCTTGTGGAAATCTTCATTGCCTCCACAGAAGCCTGTTCCTCTGGTTTCCTGCATCACCCTGTCGTCAGACCCTTTGTTCCTCTGCTCCACCTGTCCACTGCTCCACAGGTCAGTTAAGCTGAACATTTCTAAGATACCCCTCCTTTATCTGTGCATCACCAGCCTTCTCTCCTCTCTCCTCAGTGCTGTTTGATGACCTCTTACTGAGCAGAAACCATCCGAAAATAAACTTTTTTCTTTTCGTATACTCCTGTGTGTGGTTGAATTTCTGGGTCCCCTCTGAGTGTCCTCACACTGACTCCTGTTTCTAGGGGTATTATTAGAGTGTAACACTGAGGATAGTAAGAAGACTTTGAAAGAACTGAAAATAGTTTTTACTTTTGTAGTTTATATCTATGATGGCGTATTAAGATTGTTGTAGATAAAAACTGCAAGTAAATTTTCACCAAAAAAAAACTCAGAAAATTTTAGATTAACCTAAAAAAAATTCTATATTTTGTTTTGTCACCATTGGAACATTGAGTAGCAAGTACACAAGTATGATTGACAGTGCTAAGCCCCTCCTCCTGGCTCTGATTGGTTGTTGGTCCATTTATTCAGACATCAATACCAGTTCAGGGAGGAATAGTGTATATGCCACGGACTTCCGTT